GTGTGGTAATGTGGACCAGCTTTGCAAATGTCTTAGAGTTTGTGAAGTAAAATACCACTTTTTTTATGATTCCTCTTTGATTGTTGAGCTTAATTTGCAGAATTATTATCTAGGCCAGTATCGTTACAGGATCTGGCAAATACTCTTGGTTCCTTGGAACACATGGCTAGAAACAGTCTGAAAGGGTTGCTTGGTTTTGGTTAAAGACCAAAGTGGTAATAAGGCAGGTGTCTTCCTTCGGCCCCTATTAACACAGCCAGCCTTCACACCTTGGGTTCTAAATAAAGCAGTATGAACTGCTCAGACCTGGAGGAAACACTACTCAAAGTGGATACTTCACCTTCCCCCGAGAAGCTGTATTGGAGGAATTGAGTCACTCCACTACTGGCCCAGGATATTCTCCACAGCATGGCCATGGCAGCAAAGAGCTACGAACACTCATGGTGTCCAACAAAAGAAAATGCCCATCATGACGGATCCACACTGTGAGACACTAGGGTACCGTGCAGCTCTATGGTCAAGGCCATGAAAGAACAGGGGCAGAAGGATGTGAACAGCATGCTCCATTGGTTTAAAGGGAGAAATAGGAAATAAGCACTACGTTGGTAACCACAGGTTGGTCTGTGTGCGTGCGTGCGTGCGTGCGTGCGTGGTGTTTGAAGAATAGAGGAAGGTAAGATAAGGTCTTGTTACATATCCCTAGTTGGCCTTTACTTACTAATTGGCTCAAGCTGTTCTCGAACTTATAGCAATCCTCCTGCCTCAATCTGATGACTAATGAGATTACAGGAATATACACTGTAGAGAGGCCAAACACCTTGACCACACAGCTGCTATGAGAGACTTAGAGGCCCAGACACAGCTTCTGTGACAGGCTTACTGGCAGGCAACATCCAGACCCAGGAAAAGCCGTAAGCTGATCCCACCCAGGGAGGGCCTACATCTAAGGGGAAGTACCTGACACCCCAAACATTCCAACCATTAGATAAGGTAGCCAGATGTCCCTGAGTCTAGCATGTACCTATTTCTGTTTTATAGATACCCCTAGACAAATGTCAGCCAATCAGGATCCTGAACCCTGGAAATCCCCTCACCCCAACCTCTGCTGTGATAAAAACTCTACTCAGCCTGAGCTCAGGGTTCTCTGCTCTCACTGCTGCATCAGACAGACAGAGGGACCAAGCCCTGAAGCTTGAAAATAAAGCCTCTTTGCTTTTATATACGGGATTTGGTCTCCATGGTGGTCTTTTGGGGGGTCCCCGAAATCTGAGCACAACATACCCCATACCCATATCACCAGAGGGGGGAAAGCAGGCTCTAGCCCAGGCTGGCCTTGAACTCACCATGTAGATGAACTTCTGATACCCCTGTCTCTACCTCCTGAGTGCTGGGATTACAAGTGTGTGCCACCACAACTGGTTAGTGTGGTTCCAGGGATTGAACTTGAGGTTTTGTGCAAGCTAGGCAAGCACTCAAACTCGGCCTTGTCCCCAGCTCCTTATCAGTCAAATTATCCTTAGAACATTTCTTTATTTTTTATTTATATCTGTGTGTGTGTGTATGTGTGTGTGTGTGTGTGTGTGTGTGTGTGTGTGTGTGTGTGTGTGTATGTGTGCAGTTCTGTGCAGGTAACCAAAAAGAAGGTGGCATCAGATGGGGTATTGGGTCCCCTGGAGATGGAGTTACAGGGAATTGTGAGCTGCCTCTCATGTGCTCTGAGAACTGAACTCCAGTCTTCTGCAAGGGCAGCAAGTACTCCTAACCACCAAGCCATCTCTCATGCGTTCGATCCCCACAAGTCACTTTTGAAGGAGACAAGCTGACGGCTATCCTTAGCAATAGAATGGGGCCTGGGCCAGGGCGAGCTTGTATCACATGAAAGGGGGCTGATGGAGGAAGGAGAGGGTAAGTTTATTGCAGAGTTAACAGTCAATAATAAGACGGTGGAAATACTAGACTCATTTGCCTCTAAGTAAGATTGTAATGGGCAGAGATTTTCTTTTTCTCACTTTATACATAGGAAATTGGAAGGTAGCTAGAATGTCTTTACTTCAAACCTTTGATTCCTTAACGGTCAGCTTTTGAGGTGGAGGGTGGAGAAGGGGCCATTGCTCTATAATAAGCACTTAATAAAAGTTTAGTTTTTTGAATGATCCAAACCTTTTGGCCTGACTGGGAGAAGTAACTCCAGCTACATTGTTTCCCAGCAGCCGGCACAGGAAATCGCCTCTGCTGAGGGCACCTGTGGCCAGAGACCAACCTCTAAAAGCATGAGTTTATTGGTGCAATGTGTTTTTACTCTTCAGAGATAGTGGGAAAATGAGGATACACAAAAGAGGGCTGGGAGACTGTGTTTAGACTCCTCTTAAAACAGCCCCTAGAGAAAAGCCCAAAGTGTGTTTCTCCTTCCGTTATCAGTGTCCTTGATAAACTCATAGCTGATGTTTAGGAAAGGGAGACAATAAACTAATGAAGAATCAAGGCCTTTCTTCTTTCCACATACCCAGAATGGGGGGATTACTGAAAACAAAATAATATGATTTCAAAAAAAAGTGAGCAAAATACAAACAACACCGCAAACTGTTGTTCGGGGGAACCCCCACCCTGAAAATGTAGCACATAGGCATTGAAAATAACATTCTTTTTTTTTTTTTTTTTTTTTTTTAGTTATGAAAGCAGTTTGTGTTTCTTGTGGGAGATTTAGAAAACACAGATATACTGGCAGGGGGTAAATTAAAGATTTCCAGGACTGAAGATGAAGAGGTAGAGAGTGCCTGCTTAGGATGTGGAAATCCCTAGGTTCAATAGCTAGCCCGGCTCCTTCCCCCTCCCCCCATAATTATCACCCTGGTTATAGTCAATACTTCTATGGATATTTTCCAATTTCTTTTGTGTGTGAATAAATATGTACGAAAGTAGTAAAGCCATATTCTATCCTCCTGATTACTACATATATTGTGTATATTAACCTACTCCGACTCATTACATAGTCATTCTTTAAAAAAAAAAAAATACCTTTATAAACAGGTCATTCTTAGCTAGTTCCTTGTTGAAACACTTTATCACTGCTGTGTGTGTGTGTGTGTGTGTGTGTGTGTGTGTGTGTGTGTGTGTGTTGGGAGGTGGGGAGTGTTTTGGTTTTTGAGATGAGGTCTCACTATGTAGCCTTGGCTGGCCTAGAACTCACTATGTACACCAGCCTGGCCTCATACTCACAGAGGTGAAATAGTTGGATCAAATGATACTTTTAAACTTTTCCATTTATGTTGTTTTTCAGAAAGATGGCATTTGCATTCCCAAGAACACTGTGTACCAACCTTAGGAGTCTTGTGCTAAAAAATAAACCCTTGACAGTAGGGGAGGGTACTGATTGAGAACTAAGTAAAATGACACATAGGTGAGAAATGCCATCCCTTTTTATGCTAACCTAAAAACTTAAGAAACACAAAAACACCTTTGATAAAGATAAGCTCCAGTTTTTAAAACTTGTGTTTGTTAGTGACTGTGGGCATGCATTTTCTTTGCTGGCACACCTATTCTCATGAACTCCATCCATTTCTACATGGAGGTGTTAGGGTTTTTACACATTGGTCTAAAGATATGCATACATTCATGAACATAATATCACATTCGTTTAATCCCGAGTATTTTTTATTTTTATGAGGGTTCATAAATGCTAAAACTTTTTTCAGTGCAAGCTTTTTTTTTTTTTTAATCTCGTATATCCTGGACAGGTTTTGGACTTCTGTGTAACCCAGGCTGGCCTTGAACTCCTGGTTCTTCAACTACAGTCTTCTGAATGCTAATATTGCAGGCATGCACCACTATGGTAAGCTTTCAAAACTGAATTATATTTCTAACCAGTAAATTTTTACTTGTAGCTGGGCAGTGGTAGCAAACGCCTTTGATCCTAGCACTCAGGGGGCTGAGTCAGGCGGATCTCTGAGCTCAGGGCTAACCTGGTCTACAGAGTGAGTTCCAGAACCGCCAGGGCTACACAGAGAAACCCTGTCTCGAAAAAGAAAAAAAGTTTTCTTACTTGTAGAAAACTAGGCAGAAACTAAAATCTTTCTCTTAGTAATTTTAATGACTGTTCGCTTTCTAACGGGCCTGGTGGTTATCCTCTTTCCTGCGTTTTCTCATTTAATCATAATGTATCCTCAGCAGGTTATTGCAATTTGTATCCCCCGCCCCCATTACCTGAAGCCCAGCTCTAAGTGGTTGCGGAACTGGGCAAAAACATCCAGGTAGGTGGTGGATTTGATTCCAAATTAGTGGAATAACCAAAGGGGGTCACAAAAATCAGCACAGCGGGATGCAATGCCATTATACGGCTGACTCCAGAAAATACCGTTCTGAAAACAAGTGTATTAAAAGGGCTTTCTATCCCGCAACCCGCCATAAGGACTGTTGCCTTGCCATGCTCGATGCATGCTTAAGAGCACAATAAAATACTCACTGAGTCCCCTTTATAAGGAGGAACTCGTGCGTAACCAAGGGTGGCTTTTCTGGGGCTCCTGTGGGAATTGTTTGGAAATCTACCTCCCCATCGCAGGACAGGCTGAAAAGAAAGAAAGACAGGTGGAAGCGCCGGCAGGTTGGTAGGAGCAGCGCATGCGGAAGTCAGAACTTTCTGGGGGCGTCCCGGCCGCTGGTTCCACGCGCGGCGCGCGCAGGTGGCGCCTTTTCCCCCCGCCCCGGGATCAAGACGGAGGGGTGATTGGGGACCCTCCCCCCCTTGAGTCTCGGGGAAGGTGAAGCCTAGCTTTCCTCCTGGGCGAGGGAGGAGGGTGGGCAGGAAGCTCAGCCCAGCGCCGGGGAAAAGAAAG